CAGTAATGTAATTAATTAATTTTTATAATTTTTATTTTATTTTAATTAGTCATAATTATCCCTTTTTTTCTTGTACGTTCTTTTCCACTCTCTTCTCTCACCTTGTGATAATTATGTGATTGTGTAACCATAACCTGTCGAAACCATGATCAATCAAGTGTAACCATAACCTATCAAAACCAAGAGTAATCGTTGTGATAAATGTGTGATTGTCTAACCCTAACCGATCGAAACCATGAACAAATTGAGTGCGCAAGTGATGCTATAATAGTGATATCACATGATTATCACACTCATATTACACCAAATCGTTTAGTGGATTTCGCCCGTAATCGTTGTGATAAATGTGTGATCGTCTAATCCTAACCGATCAAAACCATGATTAGATCAAGTGCGTTGTTATGATAGTGATATCACATGATTATCACACACATATCACACCAAATCGGTAGTCGATTTTCTAAGTTAACTCTAGCTGAGCGGAATCCTTGTGATAATTGTGTGATAATCACGTGATTATCACACCCAAATCACACCAAATCGTGTTGATATAAGCGATAATGTGATAATTGTGTGAATATCACATGATTATCACACCCATATCACACCAAATCGTGTTGATATAAGCGATAATGTGATAATTGTGTGATAATCACATGATTATCACACCCAAATCGTGTTGATATAAGCGATAATGTGATAATTGTGTGATAATCACATGATTGATTGAATGTGGTTTTCACGGTTTGTACAAATTGGGTGGTTTTTATTTGAAGGCTCCTCTCTCTATATATAAATTTTGAGAATTATTTGTCTGTTTAAATGTCCATGATATGATATTAGATATATTAATAAACAAATAAATAAATAGATATCCTTTTCTGTTATATATAAATGAAAACACATAAAGAAATTTTAAAAATAAAAGTGTTTCAACTACATCTTTTTATTACAATATTAAATGATATTGAGACCAAAAAGTTTGATGAAAACATGAATTGAGCAGAGAGACTTGAGATCATGTAAGACCAAGGGTTTTTCGCAAGATCCGTAAGAACAATTCTCAACCCTTGGATTAGATCTACAATCTGAACATTCATAATCATAAAATTGTCATAAGACTTCTCAATAATCACAAAGTTGCCACCATGCAACTTTAGACCATTAGATCATTAGCTTATAAAGTTGATCAATGAACATAAATTGGTCTTACGAGTCTCACAAAAAACCCTTGGTCTCACATGAATCCAACTATATATATATATATATATATATATATATATAATTGAAGGTGTTTGGAAATGAAATAGAAAGTATCGTACCTTATGTATATAGTCTAGGTAGTTGGTTCACTTGGTTGGCTAAAAGCTCTAAACCGAGGATGCGGTTCTGAAAAATAAAAATAGATAATAAGAAGTAATTAATGTTGCAAGGGTTATCATTAAGATATTTACACGCACTTAGTAATTAATATAGCTCATAGCTTAGCTGTTGATGTGAAAAGTAATTGCTGTTTTAATTAAGAACTAGTTATTCCACTTTGGATTGTAGGCGTAGATCTCCACTACCTACTACCTATATTATATATCATATCATGACAAACAATATTAAATAAATATACCACATACCTACATAACTATAATCAGGCCATGAAGTTTGTACACCAATAAAGCGGTATGATTGTAGGCAATATTCTCCAGGAGTAGTAGTTTGAAAAGGAGAGAGATCCCCACCAATTATATGATTCCATGACTTGTAATAACCCAACACATCTTCTTCATCTCCATCTTCATCATACACAAGACTCACCCCACTTTCCATTGTATTCCTTATACTAGGATAAGGAGGCCCCAAAATTATGGAAATAGCAATTTGGTCACCATCTTCCATCTCATTCTTCCCAAACATCCAATGGCTAGAAAATGTTATACCCTCTCTACTTCCTTCAAAAAACCCTGGAACATCATAGATCCAGGTGCACATCTTTGTTATATTACTAATCCTTATATGTGGAATATAAGCTAAGAACTCTCCGTCATTTGTTATGAACTCTCCACTTGTAAACACGCAGAAGAAATTCAAGCCTCTAAGGTTGCAAGGAGATGATGGGATGGTAAATGATATTGATGACCCCTTCCACCTTCTATCACCTACACAATTTGGCATCTCTTTCCCCACATACCATGTGCTGAATATCCCAAATTCATAAACCATCTGCCAAATAAAAGCTTCATTTATTATATCTACATATTAATCACACAAACAAAAATAGTTAATGAGAACAAACCTCGACTCTTCCAGTTTCTGTCGGCTGAATTTTGGTGAAGTCTAAATTAACTAAATGACTCCACCCCAAACTACGTAATACCTTTTCCTCAACATCTCTCATATCTTCCTCTTTAAC